CTGCTAGACAAAACATTTGGCAGGCATTGGAAATCTTTCCCCATATAAATACTAAAGGACACGAGTGGGTCACCTTTTGGTCTTTAGTTGGATAAGTTATTTGTACTTAACTTTGCTGGTCTTCTGTTGTAAGGAAGTTTGGTTTTCCTCATCTTTAGCCTTTCTTGTACCTTTTGGCCTGAAACTTTGCTTTTATTTTGTGGGGACAACAGAATTGGCAGCACTTGTGAAGACTTGCCAGGGCCATGTGCGTGTGGCAATGCTGTGTTCCTGCTCTTTGGTGTTGCCCATCTAAGTGGGGGAAACAGCCTGGTCAACCAGTCAGGTGTTGCATCAGGAGCTCATGTTATAGAAAGTAAAGGAGCATGCAGTGATCGAAACACTTGAGACAACAGCTAAGAACAAGCAGGCCTCATTGGTTGTTCTAAATTTCAGGTAATGGAGGATGGATGAAGAACTTTCTGAAAAGACACTCTAAAGCAAAAACAATAGGAAAATAAAATGTTTCTGAAAGAGCACAGCAATATCAAAATGGATTAATCTATATCACCCCTCCCAACCCCTAAGGAATAGAACAGGTTTGCCCTGGTAAATCTAACCCAATCCATATGACATTGACTCCCAAGTCCTACATACAGAGCTGTGCAGGTTCTTTCTACAGGAAAGTCTGAGAGCGGGTGCAAAGCTCTTGGTTAAGAAGTGAGCTGATACACCTATTTGGCAAGGTTACCCAGAGGGTATTCTTGTGGTGTTTCAGAGTCTCACTGTCAAAAAAGTAGTAAATTTGAGGTTGTTTCCTTCCTCCTGCAAATTGGTTTGTCACTATGGAAAGGCTTCTTAATTTTCCATTTCTTTAATGAGATCTATCATGCATCTCCTAGGTGTGACTCTGATTATTTTAATATTCTTCCTTTTTATCTACTTAGTATTCCTGTATGGCTGCTTATTATTCTAAACTGTTCAACTTTGCAGGCAGTTATAAGAACGAATAGCTTAGTGATGTATTGACTTTGCTTGTGGCTCTGACAATGCTCCAACAGCTCCTTTCCTAAGACTACTCCTCCAGGCAAGAGAACAAGGAGAGAATGACTGCATGTGATGCATGTGAAGAACTTGGACATTTCCTTACTCACTCAACCCCAGATGCTCTTTTCCCAAGCCTCATATTCAAGCCTTCATTAGAAATCTGAGAGAAATGTTTTACTGTGGCTGCTGGCTTGGCTGCTTTTCAGGTTCAGAAAGAATCTCTTATATTCACTGGCTCTTTTTTCTTTCTTCTTTTTTTTTTTTTTTTTTTAATATATCTTCAGAAACTTGTATTATCCTCCTTAACAGTGCAGAAATATATCCACATGTGCATAATATTTTAGAAATTCTTTGTAGCGTATGTTAATCCCTCTGACTAAAAAAATATCTCAGTCCCAGTTTCATTTTTAATAGGATAGCAAACTAAGAGGATATGTGAAGATTATTCTAATCTCACCCTGGAGCTCTCTCCAACACTACTGCCTGTCTGGGACGCATTATTGAACTGCCTTCACCAGTGCTCCAGAAAAGAGCACTTATCTTGATTTAACAAGCAATGATAGCAAAAGCCTGAGCTGTCATGCTTTAGAAATAACAGATTAGCTAATTGATTGTGAAAATAATTATTAGGCTGGAGGTAAATACTCTTTGGGGTGCTGTCCCCTCCTTGCTTTCTTCCTTGGTCCCTTTAGAATATGTTTGTACACTGGGGGGGATATGTGTTCAACACAACTGACTACTCTTCCTTAAAAGCATATGCACAGGACTGCTCAAGGTGAGCTGCTGCCCTGCCTTCCAGCTCACCATTGCTGAGGCAGAGGTTTCTGCACACAAAGCATATATGCTTCTGTGGGTACTCCTCAAACCTTTGGGGGGTGGCATCTTTGATAGGGAGACCCCAGGCAGGAAAAGAGCTTATTTCTAGTGGATTCATGTTTGCAGATGGTGGGAGACCAGCCCACCTGAAGGTGACAAAGACCTAGCAACCTATGAGATGACTGTGGTGTCCCAAGGACCAGTTACTCTCCTACCTCTCATAATTTAACTGTAGTAATGAGGGTGTGTCAGGGCATGACTTTTGACCTCAGATATTGCTGTAGGTCGTGTAGTGTCATACATCCCTTCCTTCAACTCTTCTTCAGGGATGAGGGAAAAGCTTTTTTCCTGAGGAAGCAAGGCACCAAGGGAGGCAGGCAGGATTCAGTTGCACAACAAGCCTGGCTGAACCACGCCAGGTTTTACCTGTCTGCATAGCTCACTGCATGATTTTTCTCTCTGTTTCACACTGAAAATAGCTATATTTTCCCACTGGTCTCTTGAATGCATCTGTAGACTGTTTTCAGAAGACATCACAGAATTTCACAAGCAGGGGAATCACTGCTGTTGACAGCACAATAACAGTCACATGCATGGTTTCTCCTTTCTTCTCCTCCCTCCACATCTGCCCCCCAGTTCCCCAGGATGAAATTTCTAAAATCCTGTACACTGCACAGAATGCAAACACGCATTAGGTTAGTTAAAAACATACTTCTCTTTATTTGAAAGTTTTCTATCCACAGATAAAAGGCAATTGATACATTGCATAGTATACCTTTTTGTTTGTTTGGTTGGTTTTTTAGTGTGCTTATTATTCAGCATGTCTGAGAAAAGGAATGATTACTGGCTCTAACTTCCCACAACAAACAATGAAGTGAATGGAATAATAAATTAAAGTAGCAGTAGTCCACATTATGCATAAAATAAATGTTAACAGATACAAATATGACATGAACGATGACTGATTCAGTTTCCCTTCTCCTCAGGAGTTCAGTGTCTTATTAGAGTGGTTGCTTAAGTTGAGATTTTCTTAAAATGCAGTGGTGCTCAGAAGTTGTGAAACACAAAAAGCACCCAGATTTGTTTTTTTTTTTTAATTGAATGGCAATGTCTTCAAGAAACCTTGCTAGTGAGAATGCTGATCTCCTGCCCCTGTGATGGCTGGATACTGTCCCTGCTGTTGAGCCCTTGCTGCTATAAGGATGCAGATTTCACACTTAAGCTGTAGCTGATCCTGGCTCTAAGACACACATAGTGCCCACCAACTATTTACAGTAGAGGCACCACGTATCAAAGGAAACAACTCCACACACCTCCCTGTGTGGGAGAGGGGGGTCATGCAACCTTAGTGTACCTGCCCCCATCTCTGGGGTGTCCTCATCATCCTATAGAAATGCTCATTGCTGGAAGCTCAGTACCTGGGCCCTCTTTGGTGCTAACCCACCAACAGCTTCTGCTGGCCTTAAGAAAGCAGCTGTAAGAGAGATCCATCATGTCAGGGTGGTTGTTTTTTTTCTGTTTACCTGAACTCATGTGGGTTTCCATGAGTGCCTTCAATTGTGTCCAGGCAGCCAGGCTGTGTGCACCCAGCCAGGGCTTCCCAGGGGAGATGGTTCTATGCATGGGATGAATGTCTGTGCTACAGGCAGCTGCCCACACTTGTTGGGCTGCCTTCAGCATCTGTCCAGGGGAGTTTCAAAAAGTGCCTAATCTACTATGGGGAGGTAGGTGTTGAACAGGGACTGTCCAGGAAAGCACAGAGAAAGACATGTCAGAGAAGCAGCAGAGCAGCGAGGGTTCTCCATGTGGGACTGAGGATGGGAACCAAGTAGCAGAGTCCATGCAAGGCAAAGATCCAGGAGTCTTTACCACAACACGGATGCTGGCCCATACATAATACGTGTTCTCAGTAAGTTATAATTCCAACCAGGGAATCTGGTGGCTACAGAAACCACCTGAGCTCTGCTCCCCTGGTTTGACAACTGTACGCTCCTGGATGCAATTATAAGCCAGTCATATGTCTCAGCTGCCTGGCACTTCTTTCCCTCCCTCCCTATGTGTTTAACATTGAGGTAGAAGTTTCAACTAATATCAAAACACACAAAGTAAATGAACACAATCTTAGCAGGCTAGTAGTCCAACCACCTTCAGAATTTGCAAAAACTGTTACAATGTGGCTATAATGTGAGTAACTGAACTAGTAGAAAAAAGTATTTTTAAAAAGTCAGAAAAATAGTATAAAAAAGTACAGTACTGAGTTGCAAGACATTTTCTTCACCTATTGGCTTTAAAAAATAGATGAGATTTTTTTCTTTTAAATTCTGCCTCTGCAGGAAATAGCAGAAGCAGATTTTCATGTGACATTGGAGATATATTGCTGTCCAAGTAAAAGTACATGCTGAATTCCTAAAGGCATTAACAGTTTTGAACAATGACCTGAATATAGATCGTTTCTATTAGTTGGCTTGAAGTTGAACATTGTCTTTATATTCTATAAAAATACATGTTTAAGTATGTGTAAATATATACATACATGTTTATTGCAAAGAATCTGCATTCCTTCCAAAGTTTATAAGGAAGATGAAAGTAATATAATAGTAGTAATGACCTTTATTAGGAAAATTAAATGACTTATTGTTCATAAAATATTTAAAACACCAACATAGTAATTTTTTTGTTGTTGCTTTGCAACCCCTGTAATACTAAAGTAAGTTTATATTCATACCCAAATGAAGAGAGTTAAACAACTGGTATAGGGGCTAGAGTTAGTTGCCTCCACTCCATTCCACTGAGAAAAAGAGGTCCAAATTTCACTTGAAAGTATTTGGTTATCTTGAATTTCATCCTATTGATTTAATTGACAGGAATGTGGAAATACATTCAGTCCAAGAAAAAAAGTTCTTCATATTCTTACAGCTATTTTTCAAGAAATACTAGATGTTCCAGATTTAACGCTACATTTTTAAATCAGGGGAAAAAAAAATAAATCCATGAGTAAGGAAGACAGCTACTGTTTATGAGTCTTCAAGGAGAACATTTCGCTGACATTAAAGGCAACTTTGCAGACTTGCTTGAAATGTATCAATTTGTAATCTACACATTTAGAGGGGCTGCTCTGCTCTGAAAGCTGTTTCCCAATCTGTGCCAAAACGTGAGGCTGTGTAGAATACTTCTGATTATAGACCTCCGGGCTCTGTTTCTCCATAATTGATTTAGTTATTAGTTATGCAGGGAGAGAAGAGATCCCTGAGGCTTGGTAAAACAGTATTCAGTTACTAAAAGCAACCCTTTGTGAATTAATGTCATCCTACCAGCTCTTCCTGCTCATTATTCGTCCAAGTCCTGTTTTCCTGGACACCAGCTGTCACAGAGGAAGTCTCCAGCTTTTTCTTCTCCTGTCTCCCTAGCTGGCTGAAGTTGCACCAGCACGGTCTGGAGTGTCTCCTTCACCACCTGGATCTCCCTCTGCAGAGACTGTGCAAGCTTTATTAAGGAATAAATCCATAGGTGATTGGCAGTCCCTTTTCTTTTTCCAAGTTATTAAATAAATTCTTGTTCTGCTGCTCACAACAGATGGCATGGCTATCTAATCATAGTTTCAAGTCCTTCCAAATTGTTTGGATTAAATATTAATACATTTCTCACACTTGCTTTAAAAAAAAAAAATCCAGGCAAACTGAAGTTCTCAAGTAGCATTATTTAGCACTTTAAAAAGGGAGGGAATGGGGGATACAGTTCTCTTGGGAAGAAAGGAGATGAAGAAATTGTACCATGGAGGCAGCAACAGTAGCTGCCACCTCCCTGCTGGATGAGGGGTGGATTCTTAAGCCAGAGACACAGATGTGGGTAGATCAGACAAGGAAGCAGGAGCAGCCTGAGACACAAGTCAAGCGACCAGAGCTTGTGTGGCACGAGTGAGCTCAGCAATGTGTGCTATGCAAGCTGGGGTGGGAATCTAGGTAATTAGTTTATAGCAAAGAAAGCATTTCTGCTTTACTTACACCCAGAAGGCTTTAATCTTAGCTGACTTATCAGCATAATTACAGTGCAGAAAACACAAATATAAAGCAATATGAGGCTCCACAGTCAATGCTTTGAAAAAGTTGAAAAGCAAAGAGATTAGCAGTAGCAAGGTTGTGCTGTCATGCATTAAAAGGGAAAAGGCTTCTTGAAAAGCATCTGATAATTCAGCAAAAATAGTTCATTTGGTTAAGAAGGGAGGGTTTTCCACATCTTATTTGCCATTGTCTAGTTCAGATTTCCCAAAAGGCACTCAGGAAGACAATGACAGCTAATGGCTCTGCCTCTCAATAGACCTTCAATTTCCCCTCTGCCCCAGCACCAAATGACAGTAGGAAGGTGTCAGGTGGTGGCAACAAGAAAAGGAGGGGCACAACCATGAGCAGACTGGCAGGTGTAAGATATGCATGGAGATAGTGGCAATTGCTGAGACACAAGTTTTGAAGCTTCTGAGCTTCCTATGCAGCTGAGCCTTTTGTTCTGACCAGACTCTCCTGGGGATAAACACAGTTTGTATTATCAATATATTGACCCTTTTGCTGATAAACATAATCTTATGGCAGTGAGACTATCCACTCATGCAAGGACTGGAGGTAGCTCTACGAGACAACCAACCTCTTGTTCTCTTCCACAGGTTATGCTACTTGGAGAGCCGAGCAAGTGTGAGAGAAGCCAGAGCTTGCTGAAGCTCTAAACCAATGACTCATTCTTTGTGAACCAGCCCTTTGGCTCACCCCATCCATGCTAAGGCCTCCTGTGCAGGTATGGCTGAAGGCCATGGTCCCCAAAAAGCAAACCCAGGCATGCCAAAGGAGAGAGAAATAAGTTAATTTCCAGCAGTAAGTCATCAAATGAGCCCTGAGAGAGCCAGAAACTCACTTGAAGGGAAATGAAACAGACTGACACTGAACAACACCATTTCAAAACCACAACGTACAGGAAGGACAACACACGAGGTCAAGCTTCATCCTTTACAGAGTTCATCCACCATTAAATGTTTTACTTGACCCCAATGTCAATAAAATGTCCAGAAAAAGGACACCCTCAGATTATGTGGCTGTTAAAAGGGAGCTGCTACTTCCGAAAAACTGCAGCTACAGAAGTTTTTCAGAAGTAGCAGCTCCCTTTTAACATTGCTGTTTCAGGCAGTCACAGTCAGGACTTTGAAAAGCCTTTTGGCTGCTTTTGATTCTGTTATCAGTTCCTCAAAATTTTGTCATAATATATTTACATACATTTATGATGATGTCTTCCTCTTAATACATTCACCAGAGTACTAATTCATACTTCTAATTTCTGGATAGCTCTATTAATCTAAAGGGATTTTTGTCTCTAATTACAGGTAATAGCAGTACACACAAACTTCTCCAATCCTACAATCTCAAAGCACTGTACAAGGACAAATTAATTATGCTTTACATCTTCTCTTAAGTAAGAAACATTATTACCCTCTCATAAGCACTCCTGGACTGTCCACCACTCTGCAATTTAATCATGATGCTCTGCTGAAAACCTAACTGGAAAAAGAGAAATTCTTCAGTTTATGAATACCATGAAGCCTCTGAAATTTAATTACTTCTGATGTGCCGTCTTTGACTACATGCTGTTATTTGTAATATCCCAAGCAATTACAAAATTCATTTCAGGTAGAGAGAAAAGGAACATTGAAACATTTCAGTGTCAGTGTATTAAAAATCTTGAAGGATGGAGGAAAATGAAGGGGACAGGGAAAGAAACTCCTAACTAACAGGAAGATGGAGCAACAAGAGAGATGGCTGCATAGTCTACCTACAGCAAGTTTCAATACACGCTCAAATAACTGCACAACCAGCTGTAGGTCAGCAACTGTCAAATGAGCCTTTATGACTAGGCAAAATATACGGTATAAGGCTGAGCATAAAATCTCTATCCATATACAGAGGTTATGTCTGAATAAACCACTTCACCCATTTTAAAAATGCAGTTTTGCATGGGTCCACAGGCAAATGTGTCCTTCATCTTTATATTCTGTATCCAGTGCTGGAAACGCAGAGCCAGTATCAAAAGCAGAAGCCAAAACAAGTTTCAACTAGGAACGTTTTCTGGTCCTGCTGTCTTCCTGTGAAAAACTAGCAAGCCCCCCCCCCCGTCTCATGTGCATTAAAATCCTTGGGAAGAGCCTCACACAAATGCAATCCATATTCTCCAACAATGCTGCATCTCTAACGTTGTCTTCACCGAAGCTTTGATCTATTTGACTTCCTCTCTCTAAAAAACTTTAGTATCATGATGGAGTCCACGATTTACAGGGAAATAAAAAGCAGATCTACCTAATTACTGTAGAACTACTTAATATTTGGGGGAAAAAAATGGGCTGTATCTTCTGTTCTCTTAACAAAGATGTTGAGGGAAAAGAGACAAAAGGCAGAGTTTACAAACCAGTTGCTTTCCTACAGGTAAGTTTAGAAACCTTTAGAAAAAGTGTATAAGACAAAAGGCCTTGGAAAGAGTCAACAACTACCACAAAAAAATCCCAACAAAACAAAGGCATAATTTTGAAAAACTTATCATTTCAGTGATTTGGACATCAGATCTGTCTCCAAAACACTTGTTCCAGCCTAAATGGAAGACAAAGAAGCTGCAGCACATGGGTGGAAATGCACTGACCTACCTCCATCACAGCACAAACCAGGAAGGTGAAACCATGTTCTGCCAGGGTGATACACACTGGGGACAGCCCACCCTCCTGTCATCCTAATTTTGGGATGGCAAAATTTCTTACAGGTTCCCCCAGGGTGAGATGGTCAGTGAGGTACAACTGAGGCTAAACTCCACACTCCTATTGTGTCTGGTGTAAAGCAAGAGCTGTATGAGAGCCTGCTGCATGATAAAGGTGAAAGGTCAGCCAAGTCACCAGTGATGCCTAATGAACACTTGGGCACAAAATTCTATGTTCAAAATAACTGCTTAAAACACCCATTTAAGGGTGAAGAAAGGAGATTGCTTTTATAATAATAGTCCAGTCAGGTTTTCCTCCAATGAAAGCATTTTCACCAGGGGGAACTATTACGTGCATTCAAATTGTCTATCAAAATGTAACTGCTAATTAAGGATAAAAATTACTGTGAAATTGCAGTATAGACTCCATTTAATTTTAGTGGGAATTCCAGGCCTTTATTGTCAGGAAAATATCACCTCTAATCAGCTCCGTAGACACCAGAATGAGTCACCTCTCATCCTTTGGTTTTTCTAATTAATGATGTGGACTGTTTTCATACAGTCACCAATGATTAACTGTAATTGAATATTTGGTGGGTTTGTTTGGTTACACTACACAGAATTTAGCAAATGCGTCCTGGTGCTACTGATGAGCTCTTCACTCCCCAACTCTCCCTTGGCTATTGCTTGATGCTCTTTATACAAAGTACAGTTTAATATTTGCTGTGAAAGGCTTCAATAATACATGAGCACCCCAAGTGGGTCTGTGCACATACTCGGGACCAAGAAATACCACTCGATTTCTCCTTTGTTCGGGTTGTGCTGGCAATTACAACAAACAGCACGGTTGATTTAAATGTTCTAGGCCATGAAAACGTAGAATGAAAAACAATGACATCTGGGATTTTCCTTCTAATACAAACTTAATTATTAATCAAAGCTATGACACGCACTAAACATTGGCAAATGGCTCGAGAGCATCAGGCATTTGTTTTTCTCAGTGGAGTCTTTAAAAGTCTTTTAATAATCAGACAACAGGACTAATTTACATCTGTGCAGCCCCCAGTCAGATTGCTGACCTAATGTATTTGTAACATTTTTATGTAAGGCAGTTTTTTGGGGGATGAGGGAAAGGGTGGAAACAACCAGAGAACAAGAGTTTGAAAAAATTACCCTGTTTCATTACATTAATCTTTAAGCTCCTGCTCTCGGAGCTCTACAGAGTTTTAATGAAAACTGCATAATTGTCCAATATTTGGGATAAGCAATTATTTTACCTAAAACCAAATAAACTACCAGTAAAGCAACAGATTCATCTATTGTTAATCATAAATTCTTCTACTGAGGCTAATTACTGCACTAATCTCAGTGCTGTTCCCTGCAATACAGGCAAGTTATCCATGAATGAAAGTTTATTTCATACACCCTGAGAAGTTTTTAAAATAAAAAAATAACAATCTACAGGTCTGTAGCATGGAGCATGTAGCTCTTTTTTCTCATTTTGAAGTACAGCACAGTGACTACATGTACCAGATGGTAGCATTTTATGCACATTGATCTGGACTACCTCTGAAATAGCAACTGAATGTTAATGAGGGGTAGCTGAATTGCTGAACTGCTTCTCTGTACGTCCCTATGTTTTAAACATAGTTTCTTATTTTGTGACTGATGGGTCTTGCTAGAAGGACCAGGATATCACGCAATGTGCATTTCTGTATTTGGATAACATGAGCTGAATTTCACTGATAGAGGAGATCAGATCTATATCCAGACAATTGTGGCTTAGAGTGAGACGAATCTACAACTCTTCTCAAACTTTCAATTATTAGATTTTATATTTTAAACTATCTCCAGCAGTTTCAACAGCTACAAAGAAAGATGCATGCTCCATAGAAAATGCAAATACTACTGTTTTACAGGCTTGTAGTGTATTTTCTTTAGGAAAAAGCAGGTTTTCATTTTATTTCACCTTACCTAGTAAACTGTAACTACGAGCAGACCTGACTGTTTGGTTTGAATATGAACTTAAGGTCACTGCAAAGAACCCATAACTCCAACCCTGAGTGTTCTTTGATTACAGTCAATGGGAAAAGCTAATTTGAGAGCAAGTATATGTAAGGGAAGAAGGAAGTATATGCTCTGCATGGACATAAGACACACACATTCATACAGCTCTGAAAAGAATGCTCACAAACAGCATAGGGGACACACAGCTGCAACCAAGCACACACAGTGTAAATTTAATTAAAAGAATATTGCAAACCAGCCTATGGTAAATAAAAGAAAATGATCTTTCTGTACATTGACATGCTTAGGAAAGAAAGAGCTGAAGTAGTAAGAAATTAGTGACTGGATTTCTCCCCTCTGATGCAACTCCCCCAGCACCTTTTCCCTTGTTCCCCCTTAAAGTTTATCATTCTGATACCTTTCAAGAAACCAAGTTTCTAGAATAGGAATTTTGCAATGAGGTGGTAATAGGTGCCTAATAATTTAAAACACACTCTACTTATAATCCTAAACTCTCTCCTAAAGAACTGCCTGCCACAGTTTAGGAGGAACTGAACCCTTCCTAACACCACTGCCATCTCAACTCACCTTCAGGTGTCTGTAAGGTCTCCTCTGATAATCTCTCCAGCCTGAATTTATTCATCTTTCTTTATTATCCAGTTGTCTGCCACCTCTTCTCCACTAAAACTTAACAAGCTGAATACTCTAACCTTCCTCTTCCTCACTGGTTCCTATTTTTTCATTTTCTTAAAAGGAAAAAAAAAATAAAATCTCTTTTGTGGTAAGTTTTTCTATGAAAGTTACAAACAAAAAAGCACTTTGTGCTCTTACATTTTGAAAAATGTCCACAGATGTAGGTCCCAAAATGCCTCATAAAGATTAAGCAATCTTCAATCAGATACAGAATGACAGATGAAGCACAGATAGAAATAAGGATGTTTTATAAGGCAACATCTCATATCTGGTTACTTGCACTGGAGTGTTAGAAGTGGATGAAATTACACAGCAGGCCACATGATGCATCTGCTCCCTATTTTTTAAAAAGGAAATAAGTCCAAACTACATGTGACAATATAAACAGTCTAAGCCAATGATGTAGTATTTAATTTAGCTAAATCTTGTTGGGAAATGCAGGTGCATGGATGCCTGTATCCATGCAGCTTTTGGTGCACTATTTACCTATATGAGCACTACAAACAAAAGGATTTTAACAGTAGAATAAAGGCTTTTCTGTGTCTAATCTCAATTTACAAAGAATTAACTTCTGTTTAAATCAATTAAAGCTGGATCAGACCACAGTGTAAATGCACTGTAGGAAAACATGCTACAACAAAAATACCCACTTCAGCAAGACAATCAGTTCTCCTCTTCTTAATAGATTTAATCTACATTAAGAATTAGGACTCCATGTGAATCTGAAAGACAAGTATTTCACAGACATACTTACAGAGATTCATACATATATACACCTTGTATCAAAAAGGATATGAATAACTCCTTCATCAACTCTGCAGATGGAAGTTTGTAGTTGATCTTCCAGATTCACCAGTTTCTCACTTATTGCTTCACATTTTTCTCCCAACTTTGCAGAAAATATGAAGAACTCCTACAGGAAGTTAAAAAAGACAAGAAAGCATGTTTGCTGCTGACTGCACTTTTCTACATCAAATTTGCATCAAATTAAAGTGAAAATAAAATATTAGTAAGGGGAATATGATACTTTGTAGTTCTAAGACATTTGCCTGAAAGCAAATTCCCAGTAGAGAGACAAAAAAAAAATGTCACTATAAAACAATTTGGTGATCTGTATGAAACGGAATGAGCTTGTGGTCTCAGTCTACTTCCCAGCAGAAAGAAGTCATGATCTGACTTCCAGCAGACGATTAAAGGGGTGTGAAGACTGAACTTCTCTCCCTTTTCCCTGTTGTCTCACCACAGCAGGGGAGGGAAGTCTCATGCTGACTACACCATTTAGATTCCTAAATTTCAGGTTGTTCATGTAAATACAATTTACACTTTTAGGCCATTTAAACACCACTTCAAGAAGCATCACTTTTAGCATCTCTTATAAACACAAAATGTACTTACATTTTTTGAGGAAAAATCTGGATAGAATACTTAGGGACTTTGCTCAACTGATCCAAGTAATTGCATCAGTGTCTTTGAGATTACAAGATGAAACTACACTGTTTTTACTGTATTATCATGAAATAAGACTCAACTTTCCAAAAGAATGTTTCTCTCTTAGAACTTAAACAGACATATTATTTTTTTATTGTAAACTGAGTATTTTAAACCACTTGCAAAGCCCTTCTTGTAATTTTTTTCGCTTTCAGATATATTATACAAAGGTAATTTGTATCTTTTCTATTTTGTAATTATTCCTTTGAGAAATGACTCAAATAAGCAGTAAATCTAAGGGGAGGGACCAGCCAACTGGTGCACCACTGAGACAAGAGTCTGTCCTCCCTCCCAAGTCATCAGTGAATGACTGGGTTTATCTCTAAGGAAAATAGTGCCAAGATGAAGTTCTGCTGAAGCCATGTTGAAAAAATTGGAGTCTGGAATCCAAACAACTGGATTTTCTCTAGACCTAAGTCTATGCACTCATAGCTCACTCATCCAGCTGTACATGCAGTCATACACAATCTTCAGACAGTTTTTCTCCTTAAAAAAACGACTTGGCATTTTTTGCACTGATCTATTGCAATAATAGAAGCCATCAGTGGTTATTCATGGGAAATCAAGCCTTCAATCAAAGACCTTCCAAAGAAATCATGCTAATGCTTGTTGGAACGCTGCCCATTGTGAAACAATCTGATTTTTGATAAACACATTTACCAGACCTCAGCTCTGTGCTGTCCTCACGGTCTGCATCACACAGTGCGCAGAGTCAAATGTCAGACAAGCTCTGCTTGCCGGCACATCCTGTTACAGCACAGAGCTCTGACCTTTCTGCCTTCCCAGGTCTTTTGCCAGACACAGCTACTTTGCAGACCACATGGGTATGCAACCAGCCACAGCTCAAACCCTGGACAAGAGAGCTGGAGAGAACTGATGCTGCAAACACCCGCAGCTTAGAGACAGAGAAGCACAACCCGAGAACCAGCTGGCTGGGTTTCTGGCTCTGTGCTCGAGACCTGAGCAACCATCTTCAGAGTCATTACCAAGCAGCAGAATCTACAGCAGCTCTGCACAGAATGTATAGATGTAAAAATGACCCATTGTTTCTAAAATGAGAACAGGGGAGGAGAAGGTACTGTAGCTAGTTGCTAGAGGTAACTAGTAATGTCTTTTTCTCAAGATCAGAGACAGAGGATGAGGAATAAGTCTTCCATCCAGCTGCTAAATCATTATTCAGTACACCAGCAAGATTCCATATGCTGTTAGGGAGTGGGATAACCCAGGTAATTTATATCAATAGAAAGTTTTTACAGAATCATTCTGTGACACGCATGGAGGATCAGATGACAGTTATCTGCAAGAACTTAGGTCTCAGGCTAGAAGTCAGTAAATTGTAAAAACCTAGTACACTGAAAGCATATATAAAATTATTCTTTCTAGAGAAAGCTCCACTTCTGAACACTGATTTTTCTCTAACAGTTCATTACACATAAGAAAATCACACATCCGTCATCTTAGATTCAAGAAAAACAAGACAAAAATTTTCAGTACTATATAATCATTGAACAGTTAATTTAGGAAGAACAGTTTTTAATTGATGCACAAACTCCTAAGTAATTCTCTGACAGACAAAAGCTGTAAGTGAAGTTTTCAAACCAGACTCTTTCTACAGACTGTGTACTTAGACAAAATGAATTAGTCTTGTATAGATCCTGAACAATTATCATCTCACAATAACACTTAAAAGCAGATTCTTGCTCTTTTAATATCAATATATTTAATAATTTAGTCTGATCCACTTACTGCTTTTATTGAGAACTACTACTGTGTGAGATTTTGAATCACACTCATGCTGTCAAGAATGAGACTTCTAGTCCTGATTCAAAATCATCAGTTACTACAGACAGCAAACTTAAAAAAAAGTACATATTACAGTAGACTCCTGAAAACCTGTGCCATTAAGCATATTTGAATATAGAAAGCACGATGAAGATATGCATTACAGTAGGGCATCCTTTTCTTTTTTAGGATACTGTTAATGGCAGGAATGTTTATCCAGATAACAGGTCACCCAATTCACACTAGCATTAGTTGCTATAAGAGAAGACCAATTTCCTCCACTTTAGAACTGCTCTCATGCTTCCTGTCTCATATGTGGAAATACAAGTTCACCGGGCAGCTAACCTAACTGCTAAGCACACTGGCTGGATTTGTTTAGCCCTGCTGTGAAGACCCACAGTGGAAAATTTTCCCCTATACATCATGCCAGTGGATGCACAGGGCAAAGTGGGCCTCTTAAGACCTACCCCCTTCACTGAAGTTGAGATGGGTTGAAAGATGCTGGAGACAGCGTTTAGATACTTGGCTGGCACAACAGGCTCCAAGTTGCAGGTGTGGCCTAGCTCAAATGTGCATAGATCCTGAAAAGCTGAGATAAATTATAACTGCAGCCTGAAATCCACAGTCACAGTGCAGCTGGATGACGACACTTGCTGGTATACTGCTACATACTCTGATTTCATGTTTGACATTCTCTTTTCTCTTTCAAAATAAATAAAATCACCCCAAGATTTCAGGTGAATGCTTGTTTGGTAGCATAGGCATCCCACAGCACTTTGCATCAGTATTAAAACCTGTATTTTGGGGTTCTAAACTTTAGCTAGTAACTTCTACTCTGCTGCAATTCCAGGCAAGGACTTCTATTGGTACATCAGTCTTGCACTAAACATGCTTAAAAACTATTACTTTTAACCCAATGGTTTAATTTCTTTGTCAACTGAATACTTAGATTCTCAGTTAATGTAAAATATCCACTCTATCTCATGTAAAAAAAATACAGTGGCTTCCTCCTAAAGGATCACATTCTGAGTCCATACTTAATTGTCTAAAAATGTCACAAAAATCCTCTTCACTTTGGAAATTAACAATGGGCATTTGGAAAATATGGTCAAGGCAGAATTGTTACAACAATATGGGAAGGCAGGGAAATCTGAGTCAGTAAAAACTGGATCAAACTTGTTTAGATCTTTTAACATTGGAACCCCATCTAATCATACCTGCATGGTTATGATTATGGTTGCACTGCAATGTAGTTGAAATATCTCCAGAAGGTAGGGTTTGCAATCTATTTATCATAAACTCCTAATAGGTAATTAATATTTAATACAGCAAGAATAGGATACAGATAAAACTAGTTTTGCACCTACATGACACAGCTGCCTTTCTAGTTGAAATGAGAAGTTCCTCCACAGTTTAGATAAACATAATCTCTTAGGAACTAACACAAGAAAAATGCAGGAGAGTCATCCTATAACACGTATGTATGGCCTTCCTTATTTTGGACTGGAGAGATGTGGCCATGCAGACCACATGGAGACTTTAGTTTACCATCAAGAAGAGTTAGAGGCCCCTAGGCCCTCATTTGAAAAGAAGTTTGATAACCCAGACAAGTAGATAGGAAAGATTTCTCTCAGTGCCTTCCATACCTAGTAACATCTCTGGTAACATTTTTATTTGACATTTGTCTGCGTAGGCAGGGAAACTACTGTCAGTGACACACAAAATATACAGAACAGCTCCTGGTTGGATCAAAAATATCTGAGGGGAGTGTGGACTCTGACTCCAGCTCAACATATTAATAAAATATGTCTCATCCACAGTTGTACGTTATGTCCATGCTACAAGCTAGTGTAAGCCTTAAAATTTCTTTGGTTATTTTTGCACTAACAGCACTTTCAGGAAACAGCTAGGAGAGACTGCAGGAGTCAGGAAAGGGCTGAGATGCAATACTGCTTTACGGATTTTTCCGTGAACAGGGAGAGTAGTTGGTTGGGATTTATTTATTTTCCCCTTTTAAATCCTTAAGCAGGTGAAACCAGCACAAATTTGGGTGTGATTTGTTACTTTTTAAGGAGAAATTCTTCTGCCTTCTCATGCAAAGCAGAGATCCTTTTTCTCTCCCACACATGTGAAAGTCTGATGCAAAAAACAGGAATAACAGACAATGCTCCAGTAGATGCACAGCTGGAGCATCAGCAGATTGAATTAAAAGCAAAGGGAATGGCTTCCACTTCAGTCTTCTGAATTCCACTTTACCCTTTTACAAGTCATTTTAGTCACTTCTGAGCAACAGCTCGCTGACAGCATCACTCAAGGAAAATATCTGATCAGCTTTTCTAGGGAAAACATCTTCTGTGCTCTTTTGGAACTAGCTCAGCAATTTTACATAGACAAATCAGTATTGTAGTAGCTAGATCAATGTGACTCTATTAGGGATTAGTCTTTAATAGGAGTCTTTGGTGGTTGTGCTGAGAAGTGGGGTTAACAGGTATATCCTTAAAATTCACTCTTCCTACAGAGGAACATCATAGAAAAACATTGCCTTAGTCCACACTAGCAATATCATAACCCCAGTAAAATAAAAGCCTTAGAAGACATTCTGCTGAACATGAAAGCAGGATCCTCTCTCTCCTATAATAGTAA